AACGCTCGCTACCCGGGCTAACCTTCCCCCCCCCCGAGTTACGCTAACGATCGTGCCGTGGGGGCGGGGGGCGGCCTGGCCCCCCCACCCTACATGCTGGGAGCGGACCCCCCGCAGGTATGGTTCTGTGCTCACAGGCATGGCGTGGTCTGAACGACACGCATTGGTGTTCACAAACGTGATGTGGCGCTCGCAGTCGTCGTCGTCGTCGACGTCGACGACGTCGATGGCTCAGCTACCGCAGGCTGGCTCGACCACTTTTCCGCAAGTGCAAAATTCGGTGGCTCTCTCTCGCTCTCTCTCTCTCTCTCTCTCTCTCTCTCTCTCTCTCTCTCTCTTCATTCTGGCAGGTGCTCGGTCGCAGTGCGATGCAGTCAACGCGCAAATCTCCAAAGTGCCCTTGTGTCCTTGCCTCTGCGGCCTGTCCTTTGCCGCTTTCATTGGCCAGCTTTTGCAAAGCGGGTCTTGCGTCCTTACCACCCGTCCTTAATGTACGCTTCGATTGTAGAGCCAGTGCCATGGAGAAGATGAAGACTAAGCGGCCCCGCGCCTTCTTCCGCGGGCGGTGCGGTTCACGCAGGCAGCGTGGTGCACACCGCCGCTGCGTTGCAGACTTGCGGTGTACGCAGGCAGCGTGGTGTACGCAAGCGCTGTGGTGCATACAGGCACTGTGGTGTACACCGACGCTGTGTTGCACGCGGCTGCTGTGGTGTACACAGGCGTTGTGGTGTACGCAGGCGCTGTGGTGCACGCGTGTAGAACCCTCTGGCGTTCCAATTTCCATCGGGGTTTGTTCTCGAAGTATGTATATAAAACGTTTGTTTCCTGTGGAATCCAGAGGCGCCCCAATTTCCAGAGGGATTCCTTTATCAAACAAAGGTCTGTCCCTGGAGTCCAGAGGCGTTCCGCTTTCCATAGCGATTCCTTTTTCAAGCTCTATGTAACAAATGGGGTTCTGTGGAATCCAGAAGCGCTCCATTTTCCATAGGGCTTCCTCCGAAAATCCTGTTTATCAACAACGGTTGTCTGTACAATCCGATTGTAAACAGCAGTTGCTGCAATATACGTAGGCATTGCGGTGTGCATGGGCGATGTGGTGCAGCTGCTACAGTGCACGCGGCTGTTGTGGTGATGCGTGCACAGGTGGCGCTGTGTCGCACGGAGGCGTCGGGCACTGTCGTGTACACAGGCGATTGATGCGCCGGTGGAGCGGACGCACCCTGGCGGGCACACGCTGCGGCCGACGTTACCGTGACGCCCCCGCCCGGACCCCCCTCCCGGATAACGGCCGTTACCCGGGAAAGAAGAGATAAGAGAAAAAACGAATAACAAGAAAAACGGACACTCCATGACTCCCCGCATGCCCCCCCGAGACAGACTCGAGCCCTGAGACCAGACCCGATATTAAGAAGATAATATGATGACGCAGAGAGCTGGAAGAGCGCTTCACTCGATAAAAACCATATGAAAACGACGAGGACCCCCACAATCCCCCGGCCTCAAGATCTCACGGGCCACGTGACGCAGGGAGGTGAACTCACGCAGGGGCGGCGCATCGACCCCAGTCGCCCAGCCCTCGCCGACGGGGGCCCGACAGCCGACCACCCCGCCCAGGAATGTGCGGATTCGTTATCGGGGGCGCATTGCCGATCTACGGTAGGTTTGCGTCGTGTCGACCAGCGGCGACCCCAGCGCGGGCGTTCAAGGTTGAACGCCGCCTGCGACCCAGAATCGATCAATGTTGAACGATCGGACGTTGCGGCAGCGGCCGATCGTTCAAGGTTGAACGATCCCCGCGATGTCAGAAACCAATGCCGGGGTCGACACGACGCGAACCTGCCGTATGTGATGTATCGCCGATTCCAGGTTGACACTTCCCACCTTGAGCCCGCCCCCCCTTGGAGTCCCCCTTCAGCCTCATCAGATCCGAGCCCAGTTTTCGGATGACCGGAACTTCCAGAGCGAGGGCCCCATTTCAGGCGTTGCGTAAGAGGGCGGGGCGATAAATGGGGGAACTGAAAAAGTTGCACCCTGGGGCCTTACAGGGGCCCTCTGGGGCCCAAAAGGAGCACGAAAGGTGTAATTACATTCTTCGTCGCCCTCTTCCACGAATCGTCCCCCCATTCGGCAACGCCCAACATTTAGAAGGCCTTCGCTTCCACCTCGGAGCACTGCACGATTGGGACCCTGCCCCCAACCCGAGGGCCCAGACAACAAGGCCAGAACCTGAGCCCAAAGCTCAAGCCAAGTTGCGGAAGGTTTGCGTCGTGTCGACCAGCGGCGTCCCCGCAGCCGGCGTCCAATGTTGAACGCCGCCAGCGACCCAGAATCGGTCGACGTTGAACGATCTGACGTTTCGAAAACGGCCGATCATTGAAAGTTGAACGATCCAAACGGCGTCAGGAACCAACGCTGGGGTCGACACGACACGAACCCGCGGTACCCCAACGCAAGCCCCAAAAGCCCACGACCCAAACCCGAACCCCGAACCCGAAGACCCTCACCCTTAGCCCTGCGTATTCGTTCCCATTCCTTCCAAAATCCCAGATCGTTCATCCCGCCGTCTCGGTCCCCCTCTTTTATCGTGCCGTACCTTGGCAATAGTGTGCCAAACATGCAAAGCATGCAGAGCACGCACGGAACGCCAACCATGCGACGTTTGCAAAGCATGCAGAGTACGGTGATCAGGCCCCGTATGCCAAACCGGCTAAGCTTGCCGAATCAAGTGATAGCGTTCATCCTCACAAGCATCCAAAGCATGTCAAACATGCAAGTCGGACCAAGCATGCAGCGCATGTTGAGTATGGCAAGCCCGCTGTCATGCCAAGCACCTCAGACTTGTCAAACAATTGCACATCACAACAAACAAGCACGTGTATGCGAAACACGCGAAGCATGCACCGCATGTCAAGGATTCCAAGCATACACGCCTGCGAAGCAGGCGAATCATGCACATCACGCCAAGCAAGCAACGAATGCAACGCAAGCACATCACGTGAAGCACGCAGGACGAAGGGAGGGTGCCAAGCATGCAAGGCATGCAACGCATGCGCAGCAGGTGAAGCATGCCAAGCTTTGCAAACTGGCTAGGCTTGCCAAGCATTCTAAGCATGCAATGCACCGCCAGACCCTAACGGGTGTGTGTCGAGAGGGTTGATCTAACGGGCGGTTCGCGCGGGCGGTGGACTTCCGTGTAAGACGCAAACGGTTGGGCCTGGCGGACCCTAACGGGCGCGGGCGGACTTTAACGGGCGGACAGGGTTGGCGGGACATTGCAGCGGGCAGCGGGCGCTGGGTGGACTCGAACCCGCGGGCGGGCCAGACTGGCGGACCCTTCAGGGCCCGTCGCGCCGACGGACCTTCATGGGCGGGCCGGGCCGGGTCGCGCGGGACATGGAAGTGCGGGGTCACCGCGTTCTGCACCACCGTGTGGGGCTGGGCCCGATCGGGTGTGAACATATCTTGGGCGGGTGGTTCAGGTCGGGCGATTGGACCCTAAGGGCCGGTTGGGCGGGCGATCCCTCACGGGCGGGCGGATCGGGCGGGCGGGAGATCGCAGCGAGGAGGCCAATGCGCGTAGGCCACCACAGCGCGGGACACGATCAACAGGTCTGTTCACGCGGGCGGTCACGGGTGGCTCGGGCGGGAACGAACAGACGGGTCGGGCGGGCAGACCCTAGCGGGCGGGCGGGTCGGGCTGGGCCGGCTGGGCGGGACATTGAAGCGCGGGATCCATTGCGTAGGACTCCAAGGCGTGGGACCCTGTCGCTCGAGACCGGTGCGCGCGCGGGTCGGGTCGGCTCGGGCGGGCGGACCTTACATGCGGGCGGGCGGAGACGCTGGGTCGGGCGCGGCATCAAAGCGTGGAATCAATCGTGCAGAACCCCGGCGCGTGAGACCTTACTCCGTGTGTCTCGGCTCGCGTCGGGCGGGCGGAGCTTCACGGGCGCGTCGGGCAGGCGGACCCTCACGCGCAGGCGGAGGCAGGGGCGGGCGGAGAGCTGCGGTGCGGGGCCCATCGCGCAGGACATCAACGCCAGGGTTCGTTCTCGCGTGGGACAGTTGTTCGGGCGGCCAGCGGGGCAGGACGGGAGAGTCGGGCGGGCGTATCCCGTCGGTCGGGTGAATATTCAGTTCTTGGACGTGGTATGTTTAGGTGTAATGTCTCGGGGCCCACGACCTGTCTCTAAGGATACGTTCCTTCTATATGTGTGGTTGTTTGTTCGCACTCAACGATGGGACGTTCTAGTTTCGTTCCAGTGTCGTTCCAATTTCGTTTTGGTGTGGTTCCAGTTTCGTTCAGCATTCGTCCGAGCGTAGTCTCAGTTTCGTTACGGTTTCGTTCTTGGTTGAGTTCATTTGTCTTGCAGATTCGTTTCTTTTTCGTTCCAGTTTCGTTTCAGTTTCATGCCGTTGTTGTAAAAGCTCATGTCCAGTTCTGTCCCAGAACGGCATGATGACAAAGTTGTAGCGAGAATCAAGAGCGCGTGCGTCTTTGAAGGGCCCCGTGACCTTGCACCTGAGTGTATGAGGAGTGGTGGGCATACGATGTTTACATTGCACTTGCTGTCCCTGGTGCGCACCATTGTCTGGACCTGGGGCACCCATGTCTCTAGCAGACACGCCCAGAATGCCGAGGTCCAGGCTCGGCGGTAAAGCATCTGCCTCCAGACTTGTCGCATAGGGGTTCCTCCTGGCCAGGGTTGCGAGGCGCATCCAGCCGTTGCGACGAGAAGCCTCCCGAAGGCCCCCAAGAGTTCAGAGACGAAGGGGCAGCAAGTTTTGATCACCCGCCACCGGTCCTGTCCCACGATGCTCGAAGGACGCGCAATTGGGGCGATCGACGGGGGGCAGCGAGGGCCGCCGAAAAGGGGCCCTCTGGGGCCCCTGAGGGGGGCCCTTCAGAGCCCCAAATGGGGCCTCTAGGGCCCGAAAAGGGCACCCTTCTTCCCCGCCCCATGTTGTCGCCCCCCCCATGTCGCTCGCGCCCAAGATGCGAGGCCGTGGTCTACCGCGCCAGCCGCTACTCCGGGTCCGAGCTCGCCAAGCGCATCGCTCGGCGCACTGGCGCGGCAGGACCGCGCCGAGGGCGCGCGAGGGGCGGGCACCAAGGGGGGGATGGGAGGAGGAAGGAGGAGGAAGGAGGAGGAGGAGGAAGAAGGAGGAAGGAGGAAGGAGGAGGAGGAAGAGGAAGGAGGAGGAAGGAGGACCCGCCCCCGCCTCCCTCCCTTTGGTGGAATGAGGCCCGCCGTCCCCCCTTCGTTCGCTCGAACGCCTCGCCCCCCCCCCCCCCCCCCCCCCAGTCGGCTGCGTCGCAGGAGCGGCCCGCCTCGCAAACTGGAAAAATGGGGAGGAGGGAGGAGCAGGACGATCGAACCTCCAGGATCAGAAGTCGAGGATCGAACTTCGAGGATCAGTGTGTTCGAACGTTTGCGTCATGTTTGGGACCTATGGGGGGCATCTCGTGACCACGGCTGAATTCGCCTCGAACGCCTTGCCAGAACCCAGACCAGCAATGGTCAGAGCAATGTTTGAAGGAGGACCTTCAGACCGGTGCGTTACCAAGAAATGCGACGGCCAGTTGTTCGGCATGTTCGGCATTGGGGAGGCCGTTACGAATCGCTGAAGTTGTCAGAAACGATTCGGGATAATAGGCTGGGCTTGGGGAATGGATCGAGATCCTTTGGTCCTCACGTGACGATAGAAGAAATACGACGTCGGAGGAGGTTAGAGGAGAAGGAAGGAGAAGAGGGGAGTGGGGAAGGAGGATAGAGGCGGGAGAAGGATCGAGGTTCGTGCGTGGACGTTGGTGGGAGACTCAGGAGGCCTCCAGCGACTTCTGAGACCTGTGTGGACTCCAGGGACAGTCGTTTGGAAAGGCTTGGGGGCTCGCGCAGCTCAAGTGGGGCTCCTCCGCGAGCGGGGTTGCTAAGACGGCCCTGGATTGCCCCGTGGGCCTATCGAGGGCAGCACGCAGTGAACTCGGGGGGGCGTCTGTGCGCAGCCCTGGAAGTCTCTCCAGGGAGAGAGGATGGTGACCGCGTTGGCTGCCGTGCCTGGGCCTTTCGGGGGACCCGCGTCGCCACGGTTGGATCCGCCGTGGAATTTTATAGTGGGAACGCGATCCGGGAGTAGGGGTCCGATTTGAGCGGGAGGGGGAAGGTGAGAAAGGAGGAGGACGAGATGAGAAGGCGACGGAGCAACGGGTCGGTTATGTTTCCAGCCTTGCCGATAGGGTACCACAGAAACAAGTTACAGAGCTAGGGGCTGGGCGTGCTTTTGTTGTGTGACGATGCCGACCAGCATTTGAGGCCGAAGCTATCGCATAAGAAACTACGTCGGGCAAGTTTCAACAGTTGGTCCTCTTAGGGTTTATCGTGCGAGAGGAGAGGACATGCAGGAGGATGGGGGGGAGGGGCTTAACTCGTGCCTTGCAGGAAACGGGCTCAGCAAGCAAAACTCAGATACCGACACACACACACACACACACACCAGCCGCTGCAAGCTCGACTGCGGACAACGATGTTCCCCCATCCCCCACACCTTCTGGCATGTTTTGCTGCAGCCCCGGATCCTGACCCCCCCGGGGGGCTCCCCAAGGTCCGGGAGCTCCGGAGGCCTCTGGAGGCCCGACAATTGCTAAGTGCCCCTGGCGCTCCTTTCCTGCAGGGAGGGGCCCGGGGCGTGCGCTGGAGCCCGCTTCATCTTTGGGCGCAGGCACGTTTGCGCGCGTGGCTGCCCCCCCGCCATCCCCTCTGCCGCCTTTTCAGACAGCGCTGGGCCGAAAAGGCGCGTGCAAGCGAGTCCCGGATTGCGTGAAGTCCAGATATCCTTCCGGCCTTCGACACCCCCCGCCCCACCACCCCCGCTCCACGCAAGTAAGCTTGCCTCCGGGGTCGCCAGGCCTGAACCCCCCTCCACACCCCCGCGGCGTACATCGCGCGCGGTTTTGCTTCTCGTCGGCGTTGCTCAATACGCGGCAGGAATAGGACGCAGCTCATGTCGCGCGCTGAACGCCTAGCAGCCCACGATGTAAGATGAGCGACAGGCGTCGGAGGCGACGCACTTCCTTTTTATGTTGTGGGAGGGCGGGTGGTGGGAGTGGACGGAGCCCTCTGGCTCGTTCGAGCTGGCAGATTTGACCCCCCCCCACCCCCACCCCACCCAACGACCCGCGAAAGGACCTCTCCAGGCCCAGGGGGAGGGGGGAGGGGGAGGGGTAAACCCCTCCCCGACGGGGAAGAAGGGGGGTTGAGAACAGAGCGGGCTCTCTAAACCACTCACGCCCAAAGGGCTGGTGGGATTTGACCCCCCCCCCACCCCCCCCCCACCCCCCCGCGGGGCCCGCAGGAGCGGGGCCCGAGGCGCCGGGCCTGGACGCGTACCAGTGAAGGGGCGCCCGAGGCGGGCCCGCCGCTGCGCTTCTCGCCGAGAAGGAGGGAAAAAGGAAGGAGGAGGAGGAGGAGGAGGAGGAGGAGGGGGAGGGGGAGGAGGAGGAGAACCATGAGGGGGGAGGGGGGAGGGGAGCAGATGTTCCTCATAAGGAATCTCCTCTTCCTGCTCCTCCGCATCCTTTTCTCGCAATCACCCTCTGGATGATCCTGTTCCTGCTCCCCTCTCTCATTGTCCGCCTGTCGTTGTTGTTGTTGCCTTTTGTTGTGCTGGTCCGCCTCCGCATGTTACACTCGCACTCCTCATCCTGGCGGTGCTGATGATGCTGATCCTCCTCCCCCCTCCTCTTCCTCGACCTTCTGCTGCTCCTCATCCTCGTCATCCTCCCCCCGCTCCAGTTCCTCCTGATGCTCCTCATCGTGCTCCTCTTCGTTATCCTCTTTATGCTTATGTTATTCAATCGCTTCGCTCACTCCGCTGGCCCGTATTGCATGATCGCTACTGTTTCGGCGCGGGCTCGGGGCCATTTCGGCGCCGCTGGAAGGAGGAAGATGAGGATGGGGAGGGTGAGGGGAGGAGGAGAAGAGGATGAGAAGGAACGAATCAGGATGAAGATAGATATGAGGAGGAGGAGGAAGAGAAAAGGGCGGAGGAGGAAGCCTGTCGATGGCATCTTGCGGCGCTCTTGGGGCCAAACAGGGCCGTCGTCCAGATGCTTCTTTGGGAGGCCCTGGGGTCTGTTGAGAGGCCGTTCGGGGGCGCCTGGGAGACATTTTTGAAGCCTTGTAGGGCCTCTTTTGAGCCTCCTTGGAGCCTCCTGGGGTCTCTTGGGGGCCTCTTGGCGGCATCTTGGGCCATCTTGGGGGCCTCTCGGGGCCTCCTGGGGCCCTCTTGTGGCGGAAGACTTGAGGCTTCGGTTCGTGGTCCCCATCTTGGGCCCCTCTTGGGGCCGTCTTGGGGCTCTCTTGGGCCGTCTTGGGCGTCTCTTGGGCCGTCTCGGGGCCCGTTTGGGCTCTCTGGGGGCCTTCTTGGGGGCCTCTTGAGCCGTCTTCGTGTGCTCTTGGGGGCCTCTTGGGCCGTCTTGGAGCATCGGAAAGCCGAAAATGCGACAAGGCCAAAATCCTAAAATTGGTGATTGTGTATCCTCTTTATGCTTATATTCTGCATTGCCCTCCTGGACCCCACCTCATCCACCTCCTCCTCCTCCTCCTCCTCCTCCTCCTCCTCCTCCTCCTCCTCCTCCTCCTCTTATCTTCACTGCCCCCCAGCTGCTCTTCAGGCCGCCGCGCTGGAGCTCCTGATCCGGCCCCGCATGACCCCGCCGGCCGTGAAGGGAGTCGCACAGCGGCAGCTCGGGTCCCACAGAAACGCGTGGCAGTCCCGTCCTCCTCCTGGCTCCGCCTGCGCCTGCGCTTACACAGCGGTAGTGGCAAATACATGTCATGTGGTTCCCCGATCAAGTTTAGGCGCCTTCTGGTTTCAATATTCGCGTTTTCATGCTACCTCGTGTCCAGAGGACGGACGGGAACGCAATATAGTTGTTTTCGATGTTTTCCTATGTCTTGCTTCTGCCCACGTCTTCCAACCGATGGGCGTTTCTCCTCCTACTACTGATTGTTCCGCCCACTGCGACGACTGCTACACGACTACTGGTATACCAGTAGGGCTCCTGTGCTGCCACTTCTGAAGAAGCGGCAAGCGGGAAGGAGTCGGGCGCGAGTTCAGCCACACAGGGCTCAAGAGAGGCGGAAGAAGTTTACAAGAAGGCACCAAGAGCCCCCTGAGAGAGAACGCAACGTCGTACCATGCTGCCGAGGAGATCTTAGAACCACCCGGGAGGCGCCCTGATGCTGCACTCGCATGGCGGCGGGTATTGCCTCGAGGGGAGGGAGGAGAGGGCGATCCAGGGAACGGGAGGCGGGAGGCAGGGCGGGAGCGTCGGGACGGAGTGATGGGAAGGTGGGAGCGAGCGGAGGGACGGAACGGGGAAATGCGAGATTGGGGGGCCAGACAAATCACGATGAGAGAGTAAAGCAAATCGTTTGCCGACTAAATGTCGAATTGATGCATTTTGCTCCCGGCCCTCCCCTGGTCTGGGCGCTCGTTTTGCCAAGAGCACTGCTGCTCCACCTTTTATCAGATTCCGGTCCCCCACCGTCCTGCCTTCTGCGTTATATGCTTATCTCCTGCGCCTCCAACCTCGCATCTCTGGGCGCTGCCACCTGCGCAAGGAGGGAAGCAGGAGGAGCAGGATGGCGAAGAGGCGGAGGAGGATGACGACGACCTCTGCGAGGGAGAGGAACTACCGCCACTGTCGTGTGTCTTGTGTTCTGGAGACGTCCAGCGGAGTGACGTCCTACGCGTACCCAAGTAGGGCCTCCCCCCATGGGTGCTACCGACTCCGCAACCGTCGCCACGTTCGTGAGTTCTTGGGAGGTCCGGCGGAGTGACGTGACCTCACCCCACTGAGTGTTGCCAACTCTGCAGTCGCCACATATTCCGTAAGAAATCGCGGCGGCGTCCTACGTAGGCACGAACGGGACGTTGTTTCCCTGCCAACTGCGCATCCTTTAATTGTCGCCAGCTGCTTGAGGCCTACCTCGCCACCACGAGGTCGTCGCCGACGCCAGCCACACGGACGCCGACAGCATGGACTGGCACTCAGTGCGCCTGCACGATTTTTCCATGCTTTCGACTTCGAACAAGTTGCTTGCAATCCGCGGCATGGGGCTGGAGTTTCTCGTTTGGGAGCCGCCCGCGGACCTGGCGTGGCGCTTTCGGACGTTCAATGACCGCACGGAAACAGGCCGAAACTAACTATTGGAAGTTGGCGAGCCAGCTCAGCCTGGCCAGGTAACGGCACGATTGAGCGAGAGATTTGCCGCCGCGCGCGCCAACGCAGTCTTGGATGCTTCTCTGCGCGGTTCACGTGCACACAGGAGCGGGTGCGAGGCTGCGACGTTTCCTTGCCCACATCGGGCGGCGCGGGTTGAGACCGCAAGATTGGCCGCCTCAACGCAGGATTGGTGTTGCGCAAGGGAAGTGACAAAAGCGTCTTCGTCGTCAACAATCGCATCTCACTCGTCCACGCCGTTCGCTGCGTCCTCCTTACAATTATACTTGCCGTTGTCCGTGCTACCACGCCCCTCATGTAATATCGCGTTGTTTTCTCTTCGTCGTCCGCTTCGTTGTCATGTATTCACTTTTCTCGTCGGTTCACACAGGTCCCAAAGATCGCGTGACACATAGGTTACTTTTCACACGGCGCAGCATGCATGTGTTTAGCAATCTCCGTGGATGGGCCCGTTGAAATTGCCACGCGTAATAAGCGGGTCGGGACACGTCCCTGGTTATTGCATGTCGCTGGAATCCCAAACCGGACATTCCGCAGCGAGCCCGTTTACGATTCCAGTTTCCACCCCGGCGATTTTATAAGACGTGGTGCGAGAAATTCGCGTGTTGTTCCACAGAGGTGGCAAAGACATCGCTGTGTGCGTGCGCGCGATCTCCTGTGATCCGCCATTTCTGTTGACAAGAAGTCCCGCACCACCAATATGTAATGTATTTGTTTCGTCTGTTGTTGAAACCCTCGCCAGGCCGATGTATGGTGTTGATTATTTGGTCGATGGTGCATCCTGTTCTGTGTCTCCTTCATCCCCCGCGGACCGCCTGCGCGTCGCGCGGGGCCGTTTCGGCAGACTGGACAAGTTGCTGGTCGGTTTTGACGTGCGTTGCTGGCTGGGCGCTGCCGCAGGGACGGCTGCTGGCATGTACGGCGCGGCATGCGGCAGGCCCCCGGCGCAGGAGTTGGCCGGTTTCCGCACGGCGGCGCGACAAGCGGTGTGCCGCGGTGGCATGCGCCGCCGAAGTCGTTTTCGGAGTGCTGGCCCGTTTGCACGGCCGCGCCTCCGTCCGTCCTGGGCCTCTCCTGTGGCCGGTTCGCACGGCCGCGCCTCCGTCCGCGTGATGGCGTTGCCTAGAGGGGCTCTGGATCCCGCGATGGCTGCCCGGCTCGTCGAGGCGGCTGTGCGTGGGGCGCTCGGGGCGCCGAGGCGCACGGTGGCGGCGGTTGCGCGGTCAGCGGTCTCGTCGGCGGCTTTCGCCGTCGCGGCGCCGCCACCTCCTCGCTCTGGACTTCCAGGCCGCGCAGGTGCTGCTGCGGCCGACCCGACGGCGCTCGCCGCTCGGCGTCGGCGCCGCCGTCAGCGCCGCGCGGCGCGGAAGGCCGCCGCGGCGCCCCTTGCAGCCGCAGGCGTGGGCGCTGGGCAGGCTGCTGGAGCCGCTGCTACCGCTGCTGGTGCGGGCCTCGCGCTCGCCCCCGCGGCCGCTGTGGAGGCGGAGGCTGCCGACGCGGAGATGGAGGACTTTGACGACGCATGGGCCGACGGGCTCGTGCGATTCCCCGATGGTGGGGCGATGGTGGCCGCTGCGGTGGCCCGCCCGCATCCCTCGGGCGGGGCCGCTGCCGCGGCGGAGGCGGCGGATCCAGCTCGCGGAGCTGGAGGAGCTGCTGGTGCTGCGGGGTGCGGCCTCGGGGGCGACGGCCAGGCCGACGGTGCCGCGCGGCGGCGGCGCGGGCCCAAGCGTCCTCGGGCGAAGGCGGCGGCGACGCTGGGTGTGGCGCTCGCGGTGGCTTCGCCTGCTGTAGACGGAGCTGCGGCCTCGGTGGTCGGCCTTGAGGAGGTCTTCTCGGTGGCCGACGGCCTCCTTCGCCAGGCGGCCGGCTACGAGCCTCGGCTCAGCGTGCAGCTTCGGCAGATGCTGGAATCCGTGAGCTGGCGGCCTGCCAGCGCCCTTTAGCCCGCGCTCGCGGGTGGCGCGCCTTGCGCCCCTCCGCCTTTGCTCCCGAAGGGTGGCACAGCCTAGCGGGTGCCCCGCGGGGGTGCCCCAGGTGATGCCGCAGACCTCAGTAGAGCAAGCCGAGCATCCGTCAGCCTCGGCCTCTGCGGTAGCTGCGATGTCAAGGGGAGCGCCTTCGGTGGTTTGGCCCCGTTTGGGGCTGGCACGGGCAGGTGGGTGCCCCGCGCGGGCGCCCCTGGTGACGGCGCACACCCTGGAGCCAGAGCGGTCGGTGCTCGCAGCGAGCGCCGCGCAGGCGATGCAAAAACATGGGGCGCGAGTCCTCCCCAGGAGGCCCCATGAGGATCCAGGAGGCTCCTGGAGGCCCCAGGAAGCCATGCGATGCCCCAAGAGTCTTCAGGAGGCCACAGGAAGCCCCAGGAGGCCCCAGGAAACACCAGGAAGCCCGAGGAGGCCCCGAGAGGCCCCAGGAGGCCCCAGGCTCACGCGCAGAGACGCACTAATACCAGTGAGACTCATTCACACTTCAACTCATTCACAGTTAGATTCATTCCCAGCCCGTCAATACTCAAGCCCGCTTCTATTCGAAAGCTCTTGCGCCTAGACACTCACTGCGGACAGGTCCGTGCTAATAGATGCACAGTGAGTAATTACTAATCGTTTCGCTCACTCCGCCGGCCCATATTGCCTCGCCGCTTTGGGGCCGTGTTGGGGCCTCTTGGGGGCCTCTGGGACGCAGTTTTGAAATCTATCGGGGGCCATGTTGGAGCTTCTTGCGGCCTCTTGGGGGCCTCTTGGGGCTTCTTGGGGTGTCTCTTGGGGGCCCCTTGGGGCCATTTGGAGCTGCTGGATTTGTCGGTTCCTGGTCCCCGTCTTGGGCCGCTCTTAGAGGGGTTGCGAGGCCCTCTTGGGCCATCTTGGGCGCCTTTTGATTTGTATTGGGGCCATTTGGGGCACGTCAGCCGATCAGTTAGTATTATCATTACTGTTTTATTCTACGCGCGCGACCCTGGAGCAGCTGGAATTTTTCGCCGCCGCGGCAGCGTAGCAGTTTGTGTGATGATCCATCGTGGACCACCCAGAAGTCGTTGTAATTTGTGGCAGATACGTCCCTTAGGGTCTACAGTTGCCTTGCATGTGCCTGCTATTTTCCACTCTCCAGGACCAGGATTGCAGCGAGACGTGTTATGCATCACCCCCCGGACACACAAGTCCGTGACATGTGACACGTGTCTTTCCAATGCCCCAGGGGAACGTAACATGTGACAGCGAGTTTCTTCAGTTCGGAGACGGCCGTAACGTGCGACAGTTGAGCTGCAACCGGCCCAGACGGCCGTGCTGGTCAAATGGGGCACATCGCCTCCCTAGGCTCCAGAAGGGCGTGGCATGAGAGAAGTTCATGGATGTCGTTGACTTCGTGGGGCCGCAAGCTGTGGCGCCTCGTTCCCCGAGGCCCCAGAGTCTCATACACGTGGAAGTTCGCCACCTCGGCCCAGAGAAGACTGCAACAGGGCCCGTGGGCCGTCACCTGTGACACATTTTTCCTCGTGCCCCTTGGGCTCCACCGACACCAGCACCAGCGCCAGCGTAGCAGTTGGCACCAGAGCCGGCGCTTGCACCAGCATCCACACCTGCATCGATTCGAGGATTCCGCCGTGCAACGAGTCGCTGAAGAGCAATGCTGGGACCACGCTCCGCCTCAGCCCAATTCCGAGTCTGGCTCCGTGGGGGGACCCCGCCCCGCCTCAGCCCAATTCCAGAGCGAAAATAGAAACTGTGACACGTCCATGGGGGGATTCCGTGACATCACTAAGCCCCCAATGCGGCGAGCGTCATATCAGCGCACAGCACGAACACCCGCAACAAACGCCTGCGCCTACGCCGGTTCCAACGCAAGTGCCAACGCCAAAGCCGAGACCACCACCGAAGCGAGCGCATTGGTGAGATGCCCAGCTCACCAGTGATCCAGAAGCTAACGCTGGCGCTCACGCTAGCGCCAGCTCCCGCACCGACGCCATCACCGACGCCAGCATTGCGGGGTTATGACAGAGAAGATTAAAAGTTGTTCTGCTACGTCTATGTAGGCTCTTCCTGCAGATCCGGTGTCGTACAGCAAGCAGATGGGCAGTGCGGCGCCAGCATTGGTTTCAGCTTCGCTATTACCGATACCAACACCGACACGAGCATCGACACTAGCATCGACACCAGCATCGGCGCCAACACCGACACCGACACCGACACCGACACCGACACGAGCATCGACACCAGCATCGACATCAGCAATGACACCAACATCGACACTGGCACCGACGCGCGATCTAAGGGAACACCAGTACGAGGAACAACGCCCCAATGGTTCAGATTTTCGCTACTGGGACAGGGGGTACGACACCACCCTGGTTCATTCCGATAAGCAACAGCCGCGCGAGACCGAGCAGCAGTCCGACTCGATCATCCAGTAGTTCAAAAGGTGTGGAGGTATCAGGGCCTCCCGGTGAATCACGAGTCTGGCTTTGCAGTCTTTTCGTCCCCCTCCCTCTCCGGCGCCGGCCGGTCGTGTGTCACAAGTGGCACGCGTGCCACGGCTTTTGTACAAAATGGAGGGGGAAGGAGGAGGAGGAGGAGGAGGAGGAGGAGGAGGAGGAGGAGGAGGAGGAGGAGGAGGAGGAGGAGGAGGAGGAGGAGGAGGAGGAGGAGGAGGGGGGGGGGAAAGAGGGGACGAGAAATCAGAGAAGGGTCTGGGGGGCGGGACGGTTGGGGCGGTGCGGCACCGAAACACATTGGTCGGGGCAGGGGGGGGCCGGGGTGCACTGTGCGGGTGGGGAGGGGGGAAGGGTCGTGGGCGCGGAGCGGTGGGGAAGGGTCGTGGGCGCGGGGCGGTGGGCGAGGCGCGGTGGGCGCCGAGTTTCGGCCACCTTCGCCGGTCAGCATCCCGCCGCTGACGGCCTGCCCGTTGTGTTTCGCGTGTCGGCGTGGGTCAGGGACATTTGTCCGCAGGTCTCTGTTGCATTCAGGGAGGTACCTTTCTGCAGGGGAAAAAAGGGTACGGCCTCCAGAAGGCATCCACAGTCATTTGTTCTCTTCTCAACCAGGATGGCATGGCGTTTGTTGTGCAATCTCGGGGGGTGGTGCCCTCTTTCCTTGGTTGTCTCAGGGCCAGGCGCTTCCACCGCGTGGGAAGGAGATGTTCGGCGCCCGCTACGCAAACGCAGATCTCACGGCTTGCGCGCAATATTTTTTTTTCTGGGGGGAGCGGTACCTCAGTGGATATGGTGGCATGGTGTGGGTGGCATGGTGATGCGGAGTGGCGGGCGCGGGACACGAATGTTGCTGAATATGTTTGCGTGTGTAGGGAGGGCGGTTGCAATCGACAACGGCATGACACATTCACTGCAGCACGTAGGGCCAGGGGATGCAGTTTCTCGAACTTGCCACGTCGCAGCTCTGAGTCTCAAGCCCGCCAGGGCTGTGCACATGTCGCTCCACCCTTTTATTCGCTCAGCGCAAGTTTTCAGCAGAAGGAAATTCCATACTGCGGACGGGGAGGGATTTCGGGTTGGAGTCGAGTTGGGTATCCATTTCAGCAGGGGTGAAATCATTTGCCTAGACAGGGGGATACTTGACAGGCTTACAGTACAGTGACCGCGTGTGTAGACACAAATGTTTTGACTCTTGGAGCGGTACTCCTTGAAGGAACCGGAGTGATGCTAAATGTTCCGTTGCCTGCTTCCATATCGCGCTAATGTCTTAGACTACATCGGGGCCAGATTCGCAGAATACCTGCAGCTGCCCAACTTGCGCAAGCTGACAACCGCAAGCGCGAACTTGTGCGTCCCTCAAGGCATCTTGTATCTTCACGTGCTTCGAAGGACTGCTGTTTGTACGTAGTGCGTCCGTATGCAGCTGACGGCATCCCTGGTGGTTTCAGAACATATTAGTCTATCGAGTCTGTTTTCACATAGCGTCAGACGGAAGCGTTCATGTCACGCCTGTCTTGAATAGCATGCGTAAAGTTGGGAGTCTTTTGTTGCAGATGCGCTGCGCTGCATCATGCAGGACCGCATGCACAAATAGTTATTGAGCGGAGGCCCCTGGTATAGGAATTGGCGCGCGTCGAACCACTACCCAGCACGCTCGCATCTCCACTCAAAAGCTGAAATCGTCAACACGACTTGCACCATATGCGAACGCATCGCATGTTCGTGCAAACATGTGCCGTCGTCTGCGCTTTCGGGTGGACAGTGTTGCAAGTGTGCTGTCGCAGTGTCCAGCACGTTCATGGCAGGTGTTAGATCACTGACGGCAATATATTCTCGCAAGGATACTAGATGCATCTTCTATGTTTGCTCCAGGTTGCGAGCAAGTAACAAGTACCACAGTCGGTTGATGCAGTTTGCAACTAATTGCCAGGTGTATTGACGAGTGCAGGTAGGAAACATGCATGCAATAGGTGTTCACGCACGCATGCGAACGAGCACGTGCAATACATGTGTCAACGTCGGAAAGAGGCGTTGTGTTCTCCAGCTGGGAGGGCGAGCCCGAGGCGAATAGATAGAACAGCACCTCCCCGTCCCTGCAGGCCACCAGGCTTCAGCAGCCCGACGAGTGGATAGGCGCTCCATCCAGCTGCGCTGCCGCACATGTCCGCCACCACGCGTTGCAAAGCAGCGCAGGTAGTGCTGTCGCGTTGGCATCATACGTCAGGTCGTAAGTCATCCTACCGTTGAGCAGTCGAGTGGGCTTGTGGGGCTTGAATCGTTCAATTGTCGTGGGTGACCATGTCAGTACGCAGAACGTCGCCAGGCCAATGGGGCATCTGAATGAGCGTTCGCCCATGATTGGTGACAGCTGTCACCGTTGAATCGCACGCCCGAGCGATTGCGGACAATAAAACTTGCGCCCCTTTTATGTGGTTGGACAGGGAGGGATTCGATGTTGATATTCCGCTTGGCAGCGGTCAGTTGCTTTTCTGTGTACGTGTTGATCAGCACACGCGAAGTGCGAATCATCTTCTTCTTGATGTCTTCTACGCCACATGTGTGAAAACATGATATGTGATAGTGCGTGCTGCATGCTGTTACAAATCTTTGTGAGCCCCAGTTTGCATTCAGAGGTCACTGAAGGGGACCACGCCTAAAATTCCTACTTCAGGATCACCGCTTGCCCTGACGGGTTCTCGCGAAAATTGCAAGGAGTTGGTTGAAGCGCTGGGCCGATTTCGGTTGGTGGACGGGCTCACGGGCCGGGTGTTGACAGCAGCAGTCCTGGCCTAACGTGTCCCCAGCCTCCCGCGCCATTTTGGAGCCTCTGGGACCCCTCTGGGCCTTGTGAGGGGTGCTCAAGAAGCCGTCTGGACCTTGGCCCGGGGACACATATGGCAACAAGTGGTTCACAGGTCTCCGATTCCCAAGGCTGGTAAGGGTCTTGCGATGTGTGCCGACATGTGCGGGGCGCGGCTGACCTCTTGGGTTTTTGTTTCCGGATGGTGCTGAAACGTTCCCGCCGATTGAATCGGCGGGTTGGGTTTTTAGGCTCTCAGAGTGGAGGATGTAGGAAAGGAGTAAGAATACGGATAACTCAGGGAGCAGAGAGCAGAGAGCGCATAGAGCAGAAAGTACGTGGTACAGATCATGTGGTGTCTAGTTGAATGGAAAGGCCACGGAGCAGAGCGCAGAGGGCAGAATGCAGAGAACATTGAGTAGATAACGGGGAGCGGAAGGGGCAGGGCGGAGGTTAGATGTCACACGTAGAGGGGGAGGTATACAGTAGAAAGCAGAGAACTGAGAGCGTAAAATTGAGACTACCCGTTCGGGAGCACACAGATTATTTGCCTTCATCTTTTGCACTTGCCTACCACTGGCGCGATGTTGCATTCTACATACGGTCATCTGTCTTGGTTCTCTCTTGCGCCATGCCGGCAGGACAGCATCGCCCCCGCAAGTTGTCATGTGCAAAAAACTTGTGGTCCTCAGGCAATATCGATATATTCATTTTCGATTGCGACGGTGTTATTTGGAGAGGTGATTCTCTGATCGAAGGCAGTTTCTGGCAGATGCGTCGTTCTTACCTTTTGCTCGGCACGCGTGCTGCCATGATGGTCGGCATGCCATGCGGTCTGTAACTCGTGGTTGTCGTTGAGCAGCTTAGTGCGGTCGGCTTATGATGTGCTCGAAGTACGTGACGCGGGCTCTTTCGTCTGCCACTTGGCAATGGCGCAGTTTCGCGGCCCCGTGAACTTCCATACGTAATTGTTCTTGTCGCTTGATTTTGTGCCGCTCCTTGCGATTATTTGTTTCGGCAAGTCATCAGTATCCGCCCCTTGTTCCGTTCATCTGCCTTCTTACCAAGTCGAAATATCGCCATAATTCACAATCTATCCTTATCACGTCGACAATTACCAGACAGCTTCACTTTAACGTGCTAATCGCTTTCCAAGTGGCCCAATCTTTGTTAGCCGCGCCCACGGAGACCTCCAAGGACCTTTGCGTCCTACGTTCCGGAGAACACACACTCACAAACAGAAGGACATGATCTTTTGGGGATTCGTGCGGGTCTCTTGGGTCGTCGTTGGACCCCCTGACCACCCTCGGCGGAGTTTTTTGCACCGCCCCATGGCGCGCGCCGCGCGCTGGGGAAGTGGCGCGGGAAGGGGGGGGGGCAGCGCCGACACAACAAATCAGCGCAGACCACCGAAGGCTTACGTCTATGATTTTCTGTCCGGTCTTCTACACTCGCGCCCACGTCGGTGGAGGGAGAGTTACCGACACCGGTACGCTGCTCTTGTCGCCACGGCCGGGCTCGCCGCGAATATTTAGCCACAGCGTACCCCAGGAGAGGGCCGTGGAGTAGCGGTATCGTTGCATGTCGTTCCCGCACCAGGGCGATTTGTCTTGGAATTGCTTTCCGGCCATTTCCTCTGGCGCCAATGTGTGTTCGTCACGTGGGCCCTTGGAGATCTCGTCCCCTTCCACAAGGCCGGTCTCTCATCCCGAGAGGTTCGTTGACAACCGCAAGGAGTGGGAACAACGCCCAAAAGACCAAGCCAGGGAAAAATCTGCCGTCACTTGTTCTTCCCAGTACCCTAAGTTGATGTCGAATTGCGCCCATGAAGACATCCCATGAGTTGCCTCCTACTCCCCGCTGCACATGTTTTTCACGTAGGAGTGGCCTTTCACAACAGTGACCTTTGGTGGTCGGGGTTTATGGGGGGCGTGCGGAGGGAGGAGCTAACCCCAAGCACGCAGGCTGCTGCTTTCGTTTCGAGTTCAACGGTCGGCAATACGCGCACCAAAGCTGAGTGTTGCGTAGGGCCACCCGCGCGCGTAGCCCCCTCCCCCCCTTACCTGGCGGCGGCAGGGGGCGCAGGCGCTGCGACCTCCCGAACCGACGCCCACATCCCCTCCCCTAGCGGCGGGGGCCAAAGGCGCGTCGGCCACGCTCGACGCGCTGCGGTCCAGAGGAAAGCGCCTGCTCCTGACTCAGCAAGCGCCACCGATCGGGAGCTCTCCCCCACCCTTGTTTTCATCGTCGTCCCGCCGGCCCTCCTCGGTTCTTCCTCTCCTCCGCCTCCTCCTCCTCCTCATCCTCCTCCGTAGCGAGTTCGGTTCAGGATGATTTCGCCCCGTGGCAGCGCACGGATATTTTTGGTCCAGGGACAGTTCAGGACAATACTTCTGTTTCACCGTGCCCACGCTGGTGACCTGTATAGCCTTGTAAAGTATTCGCGCGCACGTTATCGCCCTCGTGGCTGGCGTGGGCTACTCCTCGCAAGCATGCCAAATGACGAGGATAACGCCAAGCGCGCAGCGGCAGATGGAGAACATCCATGCGCAACTTCCGCAGCCAATCGTGGAACCGAAGCGCTGCCTGCACATGTTCGGAAACATTTCAAAAACAAAAAAAAATGCAACACGCAGTACAAGTTCGTGAAGCCCCCAGCCAGGGCCAACCCCCTCGCCACTGTCACCGAAATCGCACATGACCGGTCCGCCCCCTGCCCCACAAAAAAACGAGCGCACCGACCAAGAGGTGGCCAGCGACAAGCAATGGATGGACCTCGCCAAGAGTGCCAACACCGAGCTCAAGGAGGCCACCTCCAAGTTCCAAGCCTCTGTCGACCGCGCCGAGGCCAGGACGCCGGTGTTCGTCATCACCTCTCTCGGCAACTGAGATTGCGATTCGGATCCAGCCACGTTCTGGGCCAGCTGTGCTACTACCTTCACCGAAGCCGATATTCGTCCAGCGTTGGCCGCTGGTTCTGCGCAGCCGGCGTGGAGCTCAACCACGCGGTGCCCAGCACCGTCGAAATCGCCAAGCGCCGCCCGCTCACCCTGGTTAGAGGCACTGTCGTGGCCGAGCCTCGCGCACGTAAGATACATGACGCTCTTGGCACAGGCCGAGAACGGCGCGACTTTCCCATCGGCTTTGGCGTTGCAGTTCTTGTGCGTTTGTACGTCCCTGGCGGCAAAGATCCCAAGATTGCCCGACGCGAGGACCAGGTCAAGAGACTGTCCAAACTCATGCTCGCCAAGGTTCCCACCATGATCTTCGCCTTCGCAGGTTGCCCGGGCACTTCATTGACAACGGCGACGCGAGCATGCGCATCGCGGTTGGTAGTAGTGCCGACGTTCCTACCCGCATTGGTTGGGTAGTTGTTGCCGCCCCGCTCGGCTACGCCGAGGCTGCCCAGACCGCCACCAATGCCGAGTTCGAACATTCCTTCGCAGACCCACTGCTGGAAGCGCAGTAGCTATAGCACAAGAAGGTCGGCATGGTTTGCGGTGCCTGCGCAGGAAAAATTAGACATAACATTCTGGAGTACTCATGCGCTACTTGGTCGCTCTCACAGTCGGCGCCAAGACGAATACAAGACTATACTTCCTCCGCTTCGCAAGCGCGGCACTAGCCCTGCAGGAGGCGCGCGGACTCCACCGAGCACGCTCGCGCGCCCCACGCCTCTCGGATGATGGCCCCAGAGGAAGGCGAGCCCGACTCCGTCGCGGCCGGCGGGATAGGCTGACTCGCCCCGATCAACAAGGCCAGAGCTGCGCCGCCCGCCCGAAGAGCGACCACTTCGACACATCCAAGTAGCCCTTCCAGGGCGACTGGCGTGGCTCAGGGCAAACAGCATCAGGCGCCAGACGGACGTCACCGTTCTGGACAGCCGCAGTCGCGACCTCACGCCTGGCGACCGCGCTGGGCCGCTTCAACAATGGCGTGTTCTTCGCACGCATGCAGACGAGCAGCCGCAGTGGCGCCCGCTATCCATGCTTGGCGACTTCGACATCTCCGAGCGCCCGCCGAAGAGCATCGCGTCGCCCGTCGCGCCGGCCACGCGCCCGCGCAGTCGGCCGGCGCCCGTCGTTCCAGGACAGGTCGAGATCGCAATCTCGGCCCCGCCGCGACCTGCAGATGCACCGCCAGCGTGACCGAGCCCGCCATGGACGGATGTTTCGCCCCGCTCCCTGGCTGCCCCGCGCCGCCCATGGAGACCGCCTTTGTAGCCAGCGAGGCACCGCTGGAGGGCCCGCGCGGGATGGGCACCGATCGCGGGATGATTTGCGCAATCGTCCTTGGCAATTTCGTATCCGGGGCGAGCGCGGCGTGCCGGCCTCAACCTTCGACCCCTCAACACAGGCGCCGCGCGCGTGCCCTGCTCGACGCCGTCGGCGCTGAGCCCGACGACCAAGTGGAGGGCGCTGAAGGCCGCCGCGCTAGCGGCGGCCAGGACGGCGCGGGGCCCCGCGACGAAGATCCCGACGGCCGAGCGCACGAGCCAGTCTGTCACATCTCGGAGGAGGCCCGCCCCATGTCGCTGCGCCGCGCCGCTCGGGCGGCCCGGCATCAGGTCGCCGCGCTGGCCACCGCGCCGATCGCCGAGACCTCGGTCGCCTCGGCCCGCCCGCGGGCCGCGGCCGCCGGGGGAATGAGGTCGGACAGACATGACTCCAGAATGCCCCGCAATCGCGCCCCGGATCGTTGCGCGCGCACGCGTGGGCGCCCGGCCGTCGGGCGGAGCTCGCCAGCGCTGACGCGCTGCGGCGAGGGCGGCCGCGAGCCGTCCGCGCCCAGAATAACGCCCAGCTCGGCGATCGCAGGCGCCAGCGTTCGCGGCGCGAGGGCTTCAGGGCTGGACTTTGGGAATCGCGTTCCACGCGGCCTCGCCCCAACGGGCGCCGAGGCGCCGGCGGGCGCGACGCGCGCCGTCGCCGGCGACCCCGCAGCGATGCACGTCGCCAGCGTAAAACAAATGGGCCGATCTTCGCCGCCAAGCGCGCGGATGGCCATGCGATCGCAAGCTGCGTGGACAGGGTCTCCCCGCCGAGGCCCGCGCTCGGCGCGCCTGTGCTTGACGCGGCATGCCTGGAGCGCGCAGCGAAGGCCTTGACTTCCGCACCGCCCTTTGCTGGGCGCTCCGGCCTGCTTCGAGGTGCTCGCCGCGCGTAAGATATTGCGCGCATCGCCCCCTTCCACGCGTTCTCAGTTCCCAAATCGCGGGGCGGAATGCCCTTCGGCAACGTTGCTCGCGTGCCCCCGATTGCTCCCGATTGTCTTCGCCCGGTATCACTGAGGAACGCAGAGGCCATGCATGCTTCTTGCGCCGGCAGCGAACAGGGCGCTCCACGTCGTTGCCGCTCGCGCCGGGCCCGAACAGCAACGCTTCGTCAACGGCCGCCGGTTCCCCCGGAACGTCGCGCCGGTCGGCTCGGAGGCCCGCCACTTCGGCGCGCTGCCAACAGCGTCAGCGGGCTGGCCCGTCTTCGCCAACGCGGACATCGCGGCGGCGTCCCCTAGATTCGCGCGCCAGTAGACATGGGGCGTCCTGAACCGCTGGGGCAACTGCGGCAGCGCGAGGGCGCTTCTGAAGTCCTGCAAGCACATGCAGCTGGCTTTCTGGGAGCTGGAAGGCGCCCAACGACCGCGGCTCATCGCCGCCTCTGGAGCGGCGCGAGCCTGTTCGCTGAGCGGCGCGATCCGGGCGCTGGTCTTCGACCCCTTCGCCCGCGCCCTTAGCTCCGAGCGCGAGGCTCCGACGCGAGGCCTCGCGAGCGCCTGCGCCGACGGCCTAGGCGCGATCCCCGCGACGCGCCGCGACGTCACCCGCCACGCGCCGCGCAAAATCGCCGCTGAAAGGCTGGCTGGCCAAAAGCTGCAGGCGAAGTAATGCGTCATCGCGCCGACCTGGCCCCTCCCGCCATGCTCGCTGATTGAGGGCGCGCGCTCCGCGCCGGAAGCCGCGCGCCCATCATCGCGTGGATCCAAGATCGAGGCGATGTCTTTCTGCCGCGCCATACCGCGCCCGAGCGAAGGCCCCGGAGAAGGGCGAGCCCGACTCCGCCACGGCTGGCGGGATGGGCCCTCTCGCTCCGATCGACAAGGCCGAATAGCGACCACTTCGACCCATCCAAGTAGCCCTTCCAGGGCGAGTGGCGTTGCGCAGGGCAGCTAACATCAGGCGCCAGACTGACGTCACCGTGCTGAACAGCCACGGTCGCGATCTCACGCCTGGCGACCGCGCTGAGCTGCCTCGACACTGGTGCGTCCTTCGCGCCCGTGCAGACGAGCGGCCGCAGGAGCGCCCGCTGGCCACGCTGGGCGCATTCAACATCGCCGCGCACCCGCCGACAGGCATCAAGTCGCCCGTCAACGCCGACTCCACGCCCTCGCAGTGTCTCGGCGCCCGTTGTTCCAGGTGGTGGTCGAGGGCAACGCGTCGGCCACAACCCGCAGATGCACCGCCAACTTGACCGAGTCCACCATGGACAGATGCTTCGCACCGCTCCCTGGCCACGCCATGCCTCTCACGGAAGCCGCCCTCGCAGCCAGCGAGGCGCCGTTGGAGGGCCCGAACGGGGCGGACAGCGATCGCAGGATCACGCACCTGCGCGCTCGCCCTTGCCAACCTCGCCCCCGGGGCGAGCGTGGCATGCCTTCCTCGAGCTTCGGCCGCCCTCAATGCCAGCGCCGCGCGCGGGCCCTGCTCGACGCCGCCGGCACTGAACCGCGAGCTGACATCTTTATCGCCGACTCTGGGCGACGGCGCGCTAGCTGCTGTTTCAACCCAATCGCCATCGCGCAGCGTCTCGCCGGCGTCCTCGACTCGCCGTACTTCGTCAAAGGCATGGGCTCACATGTTAAACGTATCATTCGCTCCGTCAACTCCCAGCCGCGAGCCAGAGATCGACTGCAAGCTGCTCGTAGTCATGCTGCCCGCAAGGCAAGATGGCCATCCTGAGCCGCCACGAGAATGCAATCAGACAGAAAGGGGTCCATAATTATCCTGGACCGCCCCCCCGGAACGTTCTGCGCGAAGGTTTGCGCGCCCGTCTCAGCAGCCGCATTTGGCGTTCCAAAACGCGCCGCGCACCGCAGAGGGCCTACCTGCTCGCGCTCCAGGATCGCCTATACACAGAACACCATGGCGCAGACCTTCCTTCGTCGCCCCCCAGCGCGGCACCCTCAGCTGGGC